AAAAAATAAGAACCAAGATACATCATGTACAGGTACAAGCACCCAATGATAAATGTAAACATATTGTATACCTAAAATGTACCAATAAAAGAATTTAAGAAAAAAAAAATCAAATAGGTCTTTCAGTAGAAATCCCAGAGAGTCACTCTAATAGTGAAGCTAAACTAGTTCAACAGTAAAGGTTACCTATACTCACCTTGAAACACTTAAAACAAACCTCAAAAAGATGAAGTTGATCCAAAAGTTACTTTCCAGAACAAAGTTCAACACTCTTAAAGGGATAGTACTTTTTTTTAAAGCATTTTTTTTTAACAAACCAGAGCTGATTTGTAGCTTGTGCTAAAGTGCTTGCCTGGCATGCATGAAGCACTGGCTTTGATCTACAGAAAAGGAAACTAAATAAACAAAGGAATATTACTAAAAAGTTATGGAGGCAGAACAGAAATCAGAGCTCAAGAACATTGAGGCTGCTAGAAATGGAGACCCAGAACTGGCGAGTCGGGCACTCCACAGAGAGAGAGAGAGTTCTGGAGAACTGCAGAGGGGTCTTCTCAAATATTTGAGTCAGTACTGATTTGCGCATGAGAGGAATCTTGAACACAGACCAAAGGAAGGAGTAAGCAGATAGTGACTGGTATTCATACAGGGCACAGTTTGTGTTCCCACCAGTCAGAATGGGGGGAGCTCATTAAACAGGGGACATTTTGTACATCCCTCCAAGAGAAGGAGATGAACAGCCCCAAGTAGTCTTCTCTAAAGCCTCATAACAAGCCTCAAAATAGATCAAGCTGATTCTCGAGAATATTTAACTATCACAACAAAACAATAAAAATGATACAACAAAATTCAATACTCCACAATGTAAAATGCATAATGCCCAGCATCTAATAACAGTTATTAAGCATGAAAAAGGCCAAAAATTTGATCCATATTAGGAGAAAAATTAGTCAATAGAAACAGCATGAGAAATAGCAGAGGATGGAACTGGCAGGCAAAATCATTAAAAGAGCTATTATACATTTTAAAACATATGGGGGCCGGGGATTTGGCTCAGTGGTTTTGCTGCCTGCTGCGCAAGCGCAAGGACCCGAGTTCGATCCCCGGTACTAAAAAAATAAAAAGTAAATAAAAACATATGTTCATGGAATTAAAGGAAAATAGGAACATAGGGAGGAAAAAAATAGAAGATACAAAAATATGTTAATGGATTTCATAGAGATAAAGTACAATCTATTAAATAAAAAATACGTTGGAGGGATTAATACCCTACCCACTGCAGAACATCATAGGGAAAAAAAATCAGTGTACTTGAAGGCACAGCTCTAAAAACTAGCCATGACAAAGCTTACAGAAGGAAAAAAAAAACCCAAACATAAATGAACTGAGACATGGGAAACTATCAGGTGGTATAATATATATTTAAATGTAACCCCAGAAAGATATAGAGAAGGACAAGTGTTTGAAAACTGATTAAGCATTTTCTAAAGTTGATTAGAAAATCAACTAATCTAGTGACCCAAGAAACTCAAACTCAAAGTAGAAGCAGCATATAGAGGACAACTTAAAAGGATGTCAGGTTCAAATTATTGAAAATAAATGGAAAAGAGAAAGCAGCTAGAGGGACAAAGACTAAAAGAAATGTGGGGAGACACCTTGCGCATGAGAAACTATGCAGACCAGAAAACAATGAAACATCTTTAAAGTGAAAAAAAAAATCAACCCATGTAAAATTCTCTATCATGGGAAAATGTCTTTCAAAAATGAAGTCATAAAAAAATGAAGTCATAATAACTTTTTTCAGATCAATAAAAGCTAATATAACTCATTACAACTTTTTGAAGCAGACCTTTACTATCAAGAAATATTCATATGAGGAAAATTATATGAAAATGTGAAAGGAATGGAGAGTACCAGGAATAAGAACTGTATGAGTTAATATTAAATCCCTTTTCACATTTTAATCTTTTTCAAAAGATAATTATTTAAAGCAGAGAAATTTAACAAACCTAAAATTTTAAAAATCTAATATTTTCTTTGAAA